ATTATTTTTTTCAACTGTATAGTACTCATGGTATGAATGTACCATAATTTAGTCAGCCAGCTTCATTACTGGCAGTATTTTGCAATAACAAAGTATGTTACAATAAATAACGTACAAATGTATTTTTTTATTTGGGTGTAAATCATGACTTAGTTATTTTTCTTTTTCTCAATTCTAACATATGTAGGAGCATCAAAGGTATTAGCTCTTTTCTCATGTGTAAGGTTCATGATAATAAGCTAGCTGAAAAGCTACATAGGGCTTACATGGTCAGGAAAACTGTAACTACTTTTAGTGGAAGTCGAAATTGTACAATATATTTGTATAACAGCATGGCAAGTGTGGTCTCTAGGAAGTATAGGTAAAGTTGATTAGATTGCAATGTATACTTAAACACTGAATAATGCACTCTTGTAAAACACTCTTCAAAATTATTTAACTTCCCATGATATCATCACAGCATGTGCAAAAAAAAAATCTTTAGTGTTATCTTTTCCTGTCACATGACTAGTGCAAACAAAAGAAATCCTTATCTTTTTGTTTCTATTCTGGTCCTTTATAAAATGGCATCAAGCACTATTCAAAATGAACACATTAAAGGTTTAGTTTGTAGAAAAGAATTAAAAAGTGTATTTTGTATTTTAAACAAATTAGATTGGCTAGATTATAAAGCAAAAGTTATTTTCCCAGCAACTGGAGGTGTTTAGCACTGCATATGCACAGAGAATTGTGAAGTTTTAAAAACACTTTTCTATATAGTTGGACACTTAAGTCTCATAGGAAGTCCTGGTGTGGCGCTGTGGGTTAATACACCAGATTTTAAAGCCATTAGAACTGTAAGGTCGGCGGTTCAAGCTCACCAGCTGCTCCACGGAAACCTTATACAGGGCCGCATGGTCGGAATCAACTCAACGGCACTTAACAACAAGTCTCCTAGCAACCCTAGGCATAGTGAATTAGACAGGGATGATATTCTTACTTTACCAAGTAGGAAATAGAGTTTAAGGAAATTGTCCTGGGATGTACTGTTCTAGACTGAACCCTGAATTAGAATTGTCCAGGACAATTTTCTACTCTTTGAAGTAGGATGTGCCCCGGTAGCATTATTGCAACGATCAAATAAAATAATGCACGAGAAAATGATAAAGTTATACAAAGAAAAGACTATTTTATCACTAACGTACTTGGCTTTTGGCAACTATATATGAAACATTTCTCATACTTTGTTGTTGTTGTTATTCGCTGTGGAGTTGGTTCCAACTCATAGCGACCCTATACAGGGTTTCTGAGGGGTGCAAATCTTTACGGGAGCAGAAAACCTCATCTTTCTCCCATGGAACAGCTGGTAGTTTCAAACTGCTGACCCTGAGGTTCACAGCCTGATTCATAACCACGCTACCAGAACATGTATAAATAGTACATGGGATTTAAACTATTAACTATAGACAAAGCAGACAAGAAGTGCTTATGGGAAGAAGTAGTTTATAGACTAAACTCGTACCTCTAGGAGCAGGTGACAGTGATATATACATATATATATATATATATATCCATTGTGGAATAATTAACAGAACTTAGACCTTGAAATAAGCCTCATTAAAAGATATTTGACCTAAGTTTTAAACCTTTAAGTATCTCTTCTTCAAGTGATCAATGTATGTACAGGCTACTTTAGTTATCCTGCTATGAGAATCACACAACTTTGATCTAACTTTCTTTGATTTAACACTGCAATTAAGGAGATTTTGTTCAAAGTCAAAGCTCATTGGTTGATGTTTTACACTGATGTGATAATGTTTACACAGATGTGCTTTGAAATCTTGATTATGGTGGATTTGGGGGTCCACCACAAGACAGACTCCTGTTATTTGAAAGGCAAAATAATATGACATTTACCTGGTATAACCTTTAAAACAGGCTTAGCCATGTATGTTTCTAAAGTGATATATCTGCTTATTGTTTTCAGACAGTGGTTTTGTTTTATTTCATATCTCAACAGTAAATCATTGCTTTAAGGATTTTTTTTATAACTTGGATGCACAATGGTCAGTATTTAGGACTACGGTGATGAAAAGTTGTAACTTTACCTTCTTTAAAGCACCTTCCAATTAATAAGCCAAACAACAATAACAGGTCCTTCAGAACAAATAAAGTAAACCAGTGAAATTCATTTGAGCTTCCAGGTTTAGGCTTTTACTGAACAGACTTTGATTGAAGCAAGACTGGAAAAACTAATCTTTAATGATTCCCTAAGCATAAATCTTCGAAATGATTCTCAACTCTTCTGCCACTGAAAAATTTTAAAGGGAAGATCTTGAATTTAACTAATAGTAAAACACACCATTTTAAAGCTTAAATAGAATTAAACTATCTATGTCCTTCACCTCATTTACTTTACACAGATGCACACACGTTTAAAATTTTACCAGTGGTTTTCAAAACCAATACCATTTTCCATTTAGCTGTTTTTAGACTTCATGACTGAAGTGTGGACAAAAAAATCTAACCTTACAAAAAGAAAATATTCTTAATTGGATAAGGGACCCAAAGTCTCTTCAGCATTTATGACATTATTTTGGATATTCATTTTCTATTCTTAGCAAAATATAAGAATATAAACTATTTCTCTTCAGTTAATTTTATCCCTAAATTGTGATTGTTTTATGTAATTATGCTAATTAAAAGACCATGACCTTAGCATGCAATTTTAAACTTCCATATAGATATAAAGCAACTTTGATTGTATCATGTGCCAGCTGAATAAAGATAAACATTAAAGAGAACCAGAAAGGTGGTGGTGGTGGTGGGGTGTGTGTGTGTGTTGCTACCCCGGCTGACTTGATTATGTAAAGAAAATCCCCCATCTAAATGATAAAAGAAAAGAGTAATGCTTGTACATTTTATTAGTGTTTTAAAATTAGTGAGTTAAACTGTCAAAGCTTTGATTTTCCTTTCATGTGTGTCTGGGCAGGTCTAAGCCTCAGGTAACGCCCTTTTTCCTTCTGCCTCTCTTACCTTTCTTTGCACCTGTCCAGCGCAGGCTCCCAGCAGCTACTAAGGAGTTCAATTCTCCTCCTCTCTCTCCTTTTCCGCCTCACATCTGTACCCTCCTTTTCCCTCTCCCACTCAGCCCCCACCCCCCAGCCTTCTATATACTTGCCAAATGGGCTCCTTTTAGCGGCGATCTATCACTGCAAAGGAGATAACTTCAAAGGCGGTTGAACAGCAGCAGCCGAAACAGCATCACCACTGCCCCAAAAACAACCCCAAAGAGGGGCTTTGACTGAGCCTCCTTGAGGTTGCTGACTAGCTTTGCCCAAGTGTGGGAATGATTTTTGCGATTGCATGGATACAGAACTGTCAAGTGCCTCTTTTGGTCACTTCCGAAGAGCATAAACGTGTTGAGAAGAGGCCGGTTTAAGATTTCAAACAGAACCTCCCCAGCGAACACGAAAGGACTTGATTAGCATATGTCAAGAGGACCCGCATATATATATACTCCGTGTGTATGTACACAGGACTCTGATCTCATCATTTGCAGAGTTGGAGTTCCAACCCCAGCCTTAGTATTGGCAGCGATAGCTGTAGATGTTTCTGCAAAGCCAAAAGCCGGCTCCCACCTACCTAAGGAGAGAAGATCACTCCAAGACAGTAAGAGCTTTCCTGCTATCTTAGTGCAAAGTCCATTCAGCGACCTCACTGGTGTAACCAGGCTTCAACTTTTTGCACTTGTTTTGCTAATTTTTCTTCATCCGCACTCACTCCTGTCCCTTTCTCCGCTACCATTTTTGGAGGAGTTTTATTTCTCGGATCTTCCTGCTTTCCCGCTGGCTCCTTCATGGCTCCCTTAGCCGAAGTCGGGGGCTTCCTGGGCGGCTTGGAGGGCTTAGGCCAGCAGGTGGGCTCGCATTTCCTCCTGCCTCCTGCGGGAGAGCGGCCGCCCCTGCTGGGCGAGCGCCGGGGAGCGGTGGAGCGCGGCGCCCGCGGCGGGCCAGGGGCCGCGGAGCTGGCACACCTGCACGGTATACTGCGCCGCCGCCAGCTCTACTGCCGTACCGGCTTCCACCTGCAGATCCTGCCCGACGGCAGCGTGCAGGGCACGCGGCAGGACCACAGCCTCTTTGGTACGTACCTACATCCCTCTTCCCGACCCTCAACCTTCGACTCGGCTCCTTTCCCGCCTTCCTCCTCTTCTGCCAAAGGCTGCGCCCACCCTGGAGCCTTTCGGACCCATCCGGGCTCAGGTTTGGGCTGGGAGTGTGCTGCAGGGTGGGCGGCTCTAGAGCAGAAGGAATTTTCCTGCCAAATTGAGGTAGCAGTCTCTAGCAGGTCTGGAGTGCTGGAGGAGAAAGGGTGGATCCTCCGTACGTTCCTTGCTGCCCTTGGGTCCTTCCCTTTCTGCTGCCTTGGATCTCAAGACCGGGTCAAGGAATCACATCCTTCCCTACCTCGCAGGCAAAGTTTTGCTTTGTTTTTAAAGCTTGACTTAGTTTTCCCTACTTTCTCTCACCTTTCCTACAGTACCGCCCACTTTACAAAAATTAATCACAGGAAGCTATCACGCTTCTTTAAACATCCCCCACGGTTATGTAGTTGAACTAGATTATCCATCTGTGATTTATGCTTGGGTGTGTGTGTGTGTGTGTGTGTTACTCTTTCATAGGTGCATTTACGTGTCTATTTAGACAAGTGTAAATGTTCACCTGAGATGGTAGCAGATTAACTTTCTGTGAGTACCGGTACAGTCAGCTTCATCTGGTGACGATTTTGTAAGGTCTTTAAGTTGTATTTGGGCAATTAAAAACAAACATAAAAACACTACTCGACTTCTGTGCATGCTCAGTCTTTTGACCAAGATACTCTTTAGAAATTGTGCAACCTGAAAGCCATGATCTTTGTATTGACCATAGGTAGGAGGAAATGGGGAAATGAAAGAAGATATGGGTGGGAACCAGAGGAGCATGTTTCAGAATACCCCAGGCAATGCCTGGGAGCTGAAGGGGTTAAAAAAAAAGAAAGAAAGGAAGGATTCTTAAATCAGTGTCTACTTCAGATGCTGTATTAGGTTTCATTTTATTTCTACTATTAATATATTACCTAACTAGGTGTGTAACTTGGAAGCCCCTTTAGTTTTCTTGTCTGTAAAATTAATTTAGGTGATCGTTAGAAGTAAGTCTTCCTTCTAATATTCTAGGATCTATCTCTGCTAGTTAGTTATTAATGCTAACCTGCTAACATCATAAGTGGACTGATACATACTACGTAACAGTTGTGAGGATGGCAGTGTTTCATTCTGTTGTGCATAGGGTCGCTATGAGTTGGAACCGACTTCATGGCACCTACCAACAACGTTGTCAAATAATTTTGATCATTAAACTTGTAATGTCATTGGAGACATACGTCATATTTAAAGAAAGATACCTTTTTTGTGTGCGTCACAGCAATGTGAAAGGGTCCAAACTCGTATTACTTTTCATTTCCCGTCATTGTTGTTGTTAAGTGCAGTTGAGTCAGTTCCTACTCATAGCGACCCTGTATAGGGTTTCCAAGGAGCGATTAGTGAGCTTGAACCACAGACCTTGTGGTTCAAACTGACTTTGCAGTCTGGAATTCCTTTAGCATCTCATCTCTGAATGGCTCTCTCTTATCTTGTCCCTCCCCCTTGTCCTTATAGTTTCATTGCCGCCCCCCCCCACTTGTAAGACTCATTAAAACCTTGGAGAAGTGTAAATCTCAGTGTGAAGGACATTTTAAACTCTAGATGTTGAAGAAATGAGCATGTGGTGGTCATTTGGTAGCACTTAAAGGCTTAGAAAATTAACGTTTTTAAACCCATATGTTTGCAGCTTCAACTGATCTCTTCCAAATTCCCATTGACTATGATCTGAGAGTGTCATGACCTAGTGGCTGGCCAGCCTGGGGTCACTTGTGGAAAGTGGTTTTTAAATTGAGGCTGAGATTCTGATTCTAAAGAACTCTGCTGACAGCAGGTGGCTCAGTTCTCTTGTCTTTCTGAATGACTCTGCACCACTTATTACAGAAAAATATCCCCCAGGTACCAGAAACATTTAGGAATGGGCACATGTATGATCATACCTATAGGTAGAAGAGGTAGAATTAGAAGTTAAGTTTAGGTAATATTCCCATACCCCATCCTCATTCTGTAACACACAGTGTAACATTGGAAATTCTGCTTTTTAGACACTTGCACTTCAACTGTAATCTCCCCAATGACAAAAAAATTGTTGCACCAACTTTGAGCCTCTATCACTGATTAGTAGATATTTGTAGATTTAAGAACGTTTTTTAACTTAGCACTCTAATTTGTTCCTTTAGAAATGTATATTGCACATTAGAATTACCATCTTGTTAGCTTAATTTCTTGCTTAAATTTTATTTCAAGTATTTAATAATTGCAAATATGTGCCTTAGACTAATTTTGGGATGTTTTAGTGGGAGTTTACATATCTGAACAAAATATTTACTGTTTCACATAGCTCCCTATTAGTCTGGTTGTGTGAAGGAATGAAGAGTCTTTTTACAATGCACTACAGTGCATCCTAGTGGTCTCTGATAGCTTAGACAGTCATTTACTACAAGGGAACTTATGAGTATGTCAGAAGCATGTTCATAGTCAAACCTGTATAACATCTGCTCTCTCTAAGCTTGCCTTCTTTTGTTAGTATGCCAATCACTAAATATGAAACAATATTGCTATTTTCTTTTGAATTGGTTTCTGTGCCATTAAGGTAAAAATTTTGAGAAAACTGAAAAATGGCTTGTTGAGATGTTAAAGTAAGCAACATTTTTAGTAATTATAGACTCATTTGACCACAATTGAATAAAAACATTCAGAATACTGTAATTTAAAAAAAGTTAAAGCACATCAGTAGATTATAAGCAAAAAGGTTCCAGTGAGGTTAAAATATAATCTCTTCTCTGATTTAGCTTTCTATTTAAAATGGAGTTTTTCTGCACTGTAGTATAGAAGAATTTACCTAATACGTAAACATGAAATCATTACTTAGAAAAAAAAGTAGAGCCTGAGATCAAACATACTCCTTTAAAAGGCTTTTCCTTTATTCTCCCCTATTCTCCATAGATTTGTCTGATGTGGTTGCATTGTGGGTTGACTCACCTGTTTATTATGATTTTTGAAAAGGCTGGCTTTGAAAATGATACCAGAAAGACAAAGTACCTCCACGTCTTTTTATGGGACACTGGGCATTAGAAAATCTACCTAAAATCTGTGATTACCTCTTAAGGAAAGTTTTTCATGTCTACTCTTTGTAAAGGAATTAGCTTAGTTGCTACCTCATCTTATAAATAAGAAAGACTTGTCAAATCTCATTTAAGAATCAAATGATTACAAATTACTATGTGGTATACTATTTCCACGAGGAGAAAAAGGATCAGAATTTAAAAGTGTGGCTAAAATCTTTAAGAAGAACACAAAAAGCACATTACATTTTCCCATCAGCCCCTATGAACCATTACAAAATTATTTATGCCTAGTTATGTATCAGGTTTTAGGTATTGTTTAATAAAGTTGAAGCTGTTGAATGGAGTCATTCTAAGAATATACTTAATCGCTTATACTTTTTAGAACTACACCACTTTTGACAAAATGAGAACTTTATTTTAAAATGATAATTGAAGTATAGGTAGTTTATCATTTAATTTTCTGAGATAGATCCTTCATGAAATCTGTTATATAATTAGTTTATATGTAAATTAAGGTTGTATTATACTGTACTTGAAACTGACTGTTCACTTCACACTCTGATCTGTTAATCAGTTTCTATTATTTGAAAGTCAAGAGCATCTTAATGTAAACCAGGTACTTAAAGACAAGTTATGTGTCTGCTATAGTACACTTTTCCATTTGAATGTAACATTTAATATACCCTGTTGTGGTGCTGTAGGATAAGCACTAGACTGCTAGCCACAAGGTTGGTGGCTCAAACCCACCAACCACTCATTAGAAACTGTATACTAGGTAGCTATGAGTTGACATGACTTGATGGCATTTAACAACCACAACAATGTATTAATCATATATTTATTTCCAGGATGAAACTCTATTAACATGCTTTTTCTACCAATTATATTGGGTCTTTTCTGTTGTGTATTCATTTCTTTTTTTCTCCTTAGGCTCAATTAGGGGTGCTGACTCTTTCAAGCCACTTAGTCCTGTATTGTTGCTGTATGATCCTTGATAGCTCTATTGTTCTACATTATCTCATAATAGTTTGAACAAGCTTATTTGTCTCTGTAAGATTCTGTTTCTGCCAAAGAGCGAATTAACCTCTGGACAGAACAGAATTCTCCATCTAAGCAAATAGCCAGGCTTTATATACTTTCTCTTGGCTTTGGGACCATCATGTGTCCCAACAGGAACTTTCAAAATAAATCAAGGAAGGACATAAGAGCAAGAATCAGTGTAAACGAAGTGAATACATATGTATTTTTTACTATTTGAAGAACTTAGAATGGGATGAAAGGGTGGTTGAGGTAGATGGTTCCAAGCATAGATAGTATGCCTGCATTTTAGCAGCAAAGATTTTAAGAGGAAGAACTAAACAAAAACATTAGACTGAATGTTAATGTATGCATAAAATACTACAGATAGAAGTATTAAGGTTTTTTTGTTGTTGTTTTTTATTTAAACTGGAGAGTTTTTGATACTAGTTACTTATTAACTGAAAATATTTCTAGAAAGGTATTGGTAGAAAAATTGTAGTGCTAAGCTCTTGGTATTTGGCTGTTATTTTAAATGAATGATCTATTCCTTGTGTGGCTCTATAGGTTAATGCGCTAGACTGCAAGGTCCATTTGAACTGCTAGGTTTGGAGTTCAAGTTCACCAGCTGCTCACCAGGGTCCATTATGAGTTGGAACCAACTTGACGGCACTTAACAACAACATTTCTTTAAACGATACAATTTATTTAAAAATTAATGTGAAAGGAAATGTGACATAATACATTGTTGTTGTTAAGTGCCTTTGAATTGGTTCTGACTCATAGTGACCCTGTACAGGTTTTCCGAAGAATGACTGGTGGGTTTGAACCATTGACCTTGTGGTGAGCAGTTCAGTGTTTATCCTACACTGTCACACCAGGACTCCATAGTATAATATATAATCTATGAAATCTTGAAACTACTCCATTTAAATGCATTCTTTATTGTCTTCCAAAAATAGTGTCCTAAAATAGTGTAGGAACATTGAATTGGGGCTCAGAAGAAGTGCGTTCAAATACTGTTCTATTAATTATAAACATTATGTAAGTCTCAGTTTCTTTATCTGTAAAGTGGGAATAATAGTATCTTTCCTGTCTGTCATAACAGGATTGCTTTTAGGACTAAATGAGAAAATGTAAGTATAAGTCCTTTATAAATTCAAAAACACTAATATACCCAGAAAAATATGCTGCTGCATGTTAAAAAAATATTAACTTTGATTCATTCTAAACAAAAACAAAGTAAAGTAATAAAATTATTATAATTACCTAATGGAATTATGGGTAACTAACAAAAGCTCTGATTTATCCTAATTTATGATAATAATAGTTTCCATTTGTTGAGTGTCTAATATGTGTGAGCCCTCACCACTCACCACTCTCCTGTAGGGAGGTGTGTCAACCATTTTTGAGGATGAGAAAATTGAAATTCAAAGAAGACAATGACTTGCTTAGTCAGTCTAGCTAATAATGCATATTCAAGTCAATGTGGTTTCAGGTTTCATACCTTTAATATTGGGAGTCCTGGTATAGTGCTGTGGGTTAATGCATTGGACTGCAAGGTCCATTTGAACTATAAGGTCAGTGGTTCAAACTCACCAGCTGCTCCTTAGAAACCCTATACAGGGTTGCTATGAGCCAAAACCGACTCAATGATACTTAACAACAACAACCTTTAATATTACATCATGATGAACAAGTTTTTCCTTTATTTTTCCATTTGTAAAATGAGAAGATCATCATGTGTAATACTTTTCATAAAGGACTTCTACCTACACCATTATAGTTAGCAATATGGGTCTACTACTAATACTATTTGGAAAATTTTTCTTAGTCACCTGCTCATTAATAAATATAAATAATTATTTTGTTTCTTTAATTCAGGTATCTTGGAATTCATCAGTGTGGCTGTGGGATTAGTCAGTATTAGAGGTGTGGACAGTGGTCTTTACCTTGGAATGAATGACAAAGGAGAACTCTATGGATCAGTATGTATTTTTTTAAAACTATTATTACTTTTGAAATAATGTCTGTCAATTTATATTTAACATATTTATTAATAATGCATTAGAAAATTATATAAAGTATACTTGTATAGCAATTAGATGTCTATATCCTGATAATTCCTATGTGTCTGGGCAATAGTATAGTAATGCATTTTTATTTAACTCCAAACCATTACCAGGATTATTGTTAGATTTATAGTTTCTTCCAACTCAATATCCTGGGTGTTTCTAGTTTACATCATATTTTGATCACTCTAATCAATGACAGAGAAAAATGAGAATATTTTTTACTTTTACATTTATTTAATACAATTTCTCGATCCATTATTATCTCCAGTAGCCAAACACACAAATATACAGACATATAAAAGTAAGTAAACAAGTATAGTTACTAGGAATTCAGTTCATACATGCATGGGTTTATTCCAAACAAAATGTCTTTAAACATGTCTCTATGATCAGTGGATGGTTGCAGACAAGTTCTCTCAGTAATACATATGTCTTAGTTTTGTTAGGGAACCTTCACAAAGACTACAATAAAAACAGTGGCTTTTGAGGGAATCTTCTGGGCCACTTCAATTCAAGGCAGAGAGGTCAGCTCAGATGGTTATGACAGTTGCTTTTAGGGATTCCCGAGGAGTCATCTTGATAGGAGTCCTGTGGGTTAATGCGCTGGACTGCAAAGTTGGATTGAACTGCAAGGTCGGTGCTTCAAGCTCACAGCTGCTCCTTGGAAACCCTATACAGGGTTGCTATGGGTTGGAACCAACTCAAAAACACTTAACGACAACAATAACAATCTTGACAGAGTTCTTGATCATGGGGGCTTATTAGGGAGAAGTTTAAGAAAATTGAAAACTGAGTTGGTGAGAAAGTGCTAGGAAAATTGCACTAAGGAATTTTTTCCCCTCTATCATCTGGAATGTCTCCCGTAATGATTTACACCCTCGGAAACCCTGTACAGGGTCGCTATGGGTTGGTTCCGACTCCACGGCACATAACAACAACAACAATCATCTGGAATGTACCTAATTATTTTTCAAGGGTAGCATGGACTGTCCTATAAGAATTTCATTGGGAAACCTTAATCCATTCCCCCTACAGGCCTAATCTTACTCCTTCAAACTTTTTTGTTACCCAAATTCAAAGAACATTTCAAAGGAACATGAATTGAGTTCCTCTAGGAGTCTGTTTGGGCGTATTGTAAATCAGAGTGCAGAATTTGTCAGGGAAAATTTAGAGAGATGAAAACACTACCTTCAGATGTATAAAGACCTACATGGAGGCTATATTGAGAAACAAAAGCTTCACATTTTGAGATTTTTGTTTACTAAAGGTTTCTAGGATTTGTGGCAATATTTTTGGACTCACCCTTGTAAACACACACATGTAGGATGCACACATAACATGTAATTTCCTTGCTGACTTTCCTATACAGTAAACCAAAATTAAAAGACAAATGTACTGTCACCAAGTCCTTTGAACAACTCAAAGATCCTATAGGATAAAGTAGTATAGCTCCTTAGGTTTTCCAAAGCAATAAATCATTACGGGAGCCAATAACCTTTTCTTTCTCTTGTAGAGAGGCTGGTGGGTTTGAAACTTGCAGTTAGCAAGTGAACAAATCTTGTTATTGTTGTTGGGTGCTGTCAAATCAGTTCTGACTCACAGCAACCTAGCACTAAAGAATGAAATACTGCCTGGTCCTGCACCATCCTCGCAAGTATTGTTACGCTGGAGCCCATTGCTGCTGCCACTGTGTCAATCCATCTTGCTGGTGCTCTCCTTGTTTTTCACTGACCCTCCATTGTACCGAATATGATCTCCCTCCTGATAACATGTCTGAAGTACATGAGGCAAAGTCTCACCATCTTGGCTTTCAAGGAACATTCTGACTAGTTTTTCCAACACAGATTTGTTTGTTCTTCTCACAGTCCATGGTACTTTCAATCTTCTACTCCAAAATCGTAACTCAAATGCATAAATTTGTCTATGATCCTCCTTATTCATTGTCCAACTTTCACATACATATGAGGCAATTGAAAATACCATGGCTTGAGTCAGGCACACCTTAATCTTCAAGCTGGTATTTTTGCTCTTTAACACTTTAAAGAAGTTTTTTGCAGCAGATTTGCCTAATGAAATATGTCATTTGATTTCTTGACTGCTGCTTCCATGAGTGCTAATTGTGGATGAAAGCAAAATGAAATCTTTGACAGTTTCAATGTTTTCTCCATCTATCATGGTGTTATTTACTGGTCTAGTTCTGAGATTTTTTGTTTTCTTTATATTAAGATAAAATCCACACTGAAGGCTGTGGTTTTTCATCTTCATCAGTAAATACTTTAAGTCTTCTTCACTTCCAGCAAGCAAGGTTATATCATCTGCATATTGCAAATTGTTAACGAGGCTTCCTACAATCCTAATGCCACATTTTTCTTCATAAAATCCAGTTTCTTGGATTACTTGTTCAACATACAGATTTGAGTAAGTATAGTGGAAGGATACAACTGTGTTGCACACCTTTACTGATTTTAAACCATCCAGTATCCTCTTGGTCTGTTCTAATGACTACTTCTTAGTCATGAGTACAATTAAGTGTTCTGTAATATCCATTCTGCACAATACTATCTGTAGTTTGTCATAATCCACACTGTTGAAAGCCTTTGCGTAGTCAACATCTTTCTGGTACTCTCTGCTTTCAGTAATGATCCATCTAACGTCAGTAATGATACCTTTAGTTCCACATCTTCTTCTGAATCTGTCTTGAATATCTGGCAGTTCCATGTTGATGTACTGATGCAATTGTTTTTGAATTATCTTCAGCAAAATTGTACTTACATGTGATGTTAATAGTATGTTGAATGATTTCTACATTCTGGTGGGTCACCTTTCTTTGGAATGGGCACAAGTATGATCTCTTCTAATCAGCTGGCCAGGTGACTGTCTTCTAGATTTCTTGGCATAGATGAGTGAGAGCCTCCAGTGCTTCATTAGTTAGTTGAAAGATTTCAACTTGTATTCCATCAATTCCCTGAGCCTTGTTCTTTGCCAATGCCTGCTATGCACTTTGGACTTCTTCCTTCAGTATCATTGGCTCTTGGGCTTATTGGCTCATTGAGCTCTTGAAGTGGTTGAACACTAACCATATCTTTATGGTACAACGACTCTGTCATTCCTTCCATCTTTTGATGCTTTCTGCATCATTCAATACTTTGTTGCAGGTTGATGCTTGAATTTTTTCTTCAGTTCTTTCAGCTTGAAAAATGCTGAGCATGTTCTTCCCTTTTAGTTTCCTAACTCCAAAGAAGTGATAGTTTGTTTCCATAAAGATTTCCCAAGAAAAACTTATTGTTGTTAATTTAATTCCAACTCATAGCAACTCTATAGGACAGAATGTAACTGTTCCATACAGTTTCGAAGACTGTAATCTTACAGAAGCAGACTGCCACATCTTTTTCCTGTGGAGCAATAGGTGGGTTCAAACTGCCAGCTTTCGGTTAACAGCTGAGCACTTTGCCCACTGTATTCTGAGGGTTTCGTCCATATGTGGACATCCTGTGTGGCAGTTCTATTATATCCTATAGGGTTGCTATGAGTTGGAATTGACATGAGGGCTACAAGTAACGGTTGTGTAACATCTGTCTTTTGTAAGGGCAAAATTTGTCCTTTCTAGGCTTTCTGTCAGCTTTGAAGAAAGGGAAATACAACATTATGTAATAATTATATAAATAGAATTACAGTGGAGGAAAAGCCCCAAAACATTTACAGCTTTTCTTATTCATGTATTTGTTGGAATAAAAAATCAGCTCTAGTCTATTCCTTAGTATAATATATAGTCCATCTTGAAAAGACAAATCATTTAGCCTCTACTCCATATACCTGAATGGTAGGAGAGTTAATCATGGGGTGGTGAGACTCGGTCTCTCATACATTGGACATGTTGTCAGGGGGACCAGTCCCTGGAGAAAGGACATCATGTTTGGTAAATGGAAGGTCAGAAAAATAGAACAAGACTCCTAATGAAATGTATTGGTAATTGGTACAGTGGCAGTAACAATGGACTGGAAAAAAAAAAAGTTAATCATGGAAAATATATTATCAGATAATAAGTTAATAAAATATATGAGTTGAAGTGATAATTTTGGATTAGGAATTTGGATCTTAGCAAGATCCTCAAATGCTCCAAGGTAACAGTGGTAACTTGACATGTAGAATTTCAACATCTACTGATGCATCAAGATAAACTACAGTCTGTTTGTTGGGATGGTGGTGGGAAAGAGATAATATGGAAAATGGAAAAGTTCATCATATTCATTAAGTATTTCAAAATAAAATTGGAATTGACATTTGACTTTAGTTCTGTTAATTAAACTACTGTATGAAGTACCTGCTTAGAAGAATTCCAGGCAACATAACGAAAACAAAGCAAAGTGAAAACAATTGAACATTTATCCTTTTTTTAAAAAAAAAGATATTATTATAACAAAGACATAAAAATATAGTTTAGACTATTCTAAGGAAATTCTCTTAAAATTATTTTTAAGTGGGAATTTATCTTTTCTCTTTTAGGAGAAATTGACTTCTGAATGCATCTTTAGGGAGCAGTTTGAAGAGAACTGGTATAATACCTACTCCTCCAATATCTATAAACATGGAGACACTGGCCGCAGGTATTTTGTGGCGCTTAACAAAGATGGAAGTCCCAGAGATGGTGCCAGATCCAAAAGACATCAGAAATTTACACATTTCCTTCCTAGACCAGTGGATCCAGAAAGAGTTCCAGAATTGTACAAGGACCTACTGTTATACAGTTGAAGTATGGCAATCTTTACAGGAACACCAAACCACAATCTTGTCACAATTTCCATGGCAAAAATAATAACCCAGGAAGACATTCAGAATGTTACAGAGTTAAATATCTACTGAAAGAATGCATTTGGAAAGAACACTGAGTTAAAACTACAACAAACAATTATTTTCTACTTGAAGTAGATGAAGATCATTCTGTAAAAGTGGATAACATTCCCTTAGATATAATGGCTCTGTCCTTATCAGTTGATTGAAGCTGAAATTCTCTTTTACTGTGGATAATGGGAACACCACCTGGTTTGCTGCTGGCGCCTCACCTCTCTGGATTATGTTTACTTTAAGGATTGCATTAAAAATAGATACTTCATGTTGAAGAGATGGATTGACTTAATTGATCAAGATTATTGCTACATAAATTTTAAAGACCTTATAGGACTATTACATGTTAAAAAACCTTGAACTATAAAAATGAAACTTGGACTATAAAACATGCCAGACTAAGACGGAACATTTTTTAAAAAAGGATGGACCTATTTATACATTTTATAAATATTTATTATATATATTTATTTATTAAAGAGTTTATTTTTTACTGGTATATAAAGATAATACAAAGAGAAAAAAAAATGACAAAAATTCCTTTCTTGTGCCATTACTTTTTTCTGGTGTCTTGGGCAATAAAGAAGACATCATTATTGCAACCATAAAATATAGAGCAACATCTTAAAATTCTCTTAAAATATCTAGTGTAGATTATATTTTTATTCACAATCAGTTGCCTTCTAATTGTAACATTGGTTCCTTTTGACTTAGAAAAACTGCTTTATCAATTTGTATTGAATTGAACACACATTCAAAAGGGAATTAAACATTTTTATTTTATGTTTCGGTTTTATTGCTTTTCAGATGAAAATTATTCTATTTATATAACATGTTTTAAAATTCTAAGATCCCTAAGGGAACATTTGCCTTGGTATTTAAGGAAATTCTCATGTTGAAAATGACCAAATATTACAGCCAACTTACACTTACTTTTTCTTGATTCAGTGTGACAAAGATCATTTCTTTTCACCACTACAATCATAGAATTAGTCTTTGTGTGGCATCACTATTAACAGTGGTAAAATCTTATTTGCCTATGTGAATCTGGTACTCTTTTTATTATAGCTTACCTTTAGTAATTTGTTCAACAAATATTTATTATATGCTACGATGAGGCTTTCTGCTCCTATAAAGATTCACCAACTTGGAAACCCTATACAGGATCACTATGAGTCAGAACCGACTCCACAGCATATCACCATAACCTCCATACACAAGTTGGAGTCTTGGTGTGGTGTTGTAGGATAAGCACCTGATTGAAAGGTCATTTTAAACTGCAAGGTCGGTGATTCAAACCCACCAGTCACTCCTTCTAAACCCTATACAGGATCTCTGTGAGTCAGAACTGATTTAATGGCACTTAACAACAATAACATACACAAGTTAGGAGCCCTGGTGACTAAATGGAGTAAGCATTGGGCTGCTAACCACAAAGTTGGTGATTCAAACTCACTAGCCACTCTGCAGAAGAAAGATGAGATTGCCTACTCCTGTAAAGATTTATGGTTTTGGAAACCCTATTGGTACAGTGGCAGCAGCAATGGGCTCAAACATAGCAACCATTTTGAGGTTGGCGCAGGACTGGGCAGTGTTTTGTTTTATTGTGCATAAGGTCTCTATGAGTTAGTACTGACTTGATGGCACCTAACAACAAAAACAGTGGAGCAGTTCTACATTGTCCTGTAGGAGTGCTATGAGTCAGAATGCACTCAATGTCAGTGAGTGGGTTATACACAAGTCACTGTATTAGACTCTATGGAAATGTGATCAAGACTTAGATAGTTTTTTCATCATGGAGCTTAAAATCTAATAGGAGAGACAGATGGTAAACAAGTAAAACTAAAAAATAGGTACCATAATTATGAACTGTGATTGTTCTATGAGGAAAACAAGTTTTTATACAGAATATAAAGAAAACCAATTTAAATAGGATGGGTTAGAGAAGACCTGTTTAAGGAGATGGCCTTTCTAATGAACATGTAAGTATAAGAAGGACCTAACTAGGGCAAGTAGAAGAAAAGAACTTTCCATGAAGAGGAAATGGAAATTTTAGTGGTGTGGTACTGTGGATTAATGTGCTGGACTGCAAAGTTGGATTAAACCACAAGATCAGTGGTTCAAGCTCACCAGCTGCTCCTTGGAAACTCTATGCAGGGTTGCTATGGGTTGGAACCAATTCAAGGGCACTTAACAAACAACAAGGGCCACTGGCGTGGCACTGTAGGATAAACACTGGACTTCAAGGAACTGCAAGGTTGGCAGTTCAAATCTATCAGCAGCTACTCAGAAACCCTATACAAAGTCACTATGAGTTGGAAATCACTCAATGGCACTAAACAGCAACAACAAAGTTCACTAAGGAGTCCTGGTAGCATTGGGCTGCTAGCCCCATGGTCAGCAGTTCAAACCCACTTGCCAATTCACAGGAGAAAGATGAGGCTTTCTGTTCCCATAAAGATTTACAGTTGAAAACCCTATACAGGGTTGCTATGAGTTGGAACCAACTCAATGGCATGCAGTAGCAACAGTAGCAGCAGCAGCAGCAAGAGTCATGAAGGGTCATGGTATGGTGCTATAGGATTAGCACTGAACTGCTAATTCCAAGGCTTATGGTTCAAATCCACCAACTGCTTCTCAGAAACCCTATGCAGGGTCTCTATGAGTTGGAACCAACACAACAAAGGAGTCAGTAAGCACATAGCAATAAAAAAGGGTCACATGGTCGAACCAATCTTCTGTTTCCTCTTCCGTTACAGTTATTTCCACTGATAATCACTTGGTGAGTCATTTTGCCATGGCCAGCCTCTATCCAACATGATCACCTCATTAACATAACCTATGAAGTGTGATCAGCTTGAGGGCTAAGGCGCCTGACCCAAGCCATGTGTTTTCAATAACCTCATATGCATGTGAAAGCTGGACAGTGAATAAGGAAGACCGTAGAAGAATTGATGCATTTGAGTTATGGTGTTGGAGGAGAATAT